ATCGGTTGGCATCTCCATAGCCCATTGATTAGCCTCGTTGATGTGATACTTTCTCCTTTTTTTGTCTTCTCCACATAACCCCCCTCATTATATTTTATTCCACCCATAGTGCTATATCCATGGCTCACGCTCATGTATTGCGTGAAAGTTTATAGGTTTGAGATTACTAAAGTATGAAACAATTGCTTGGCTTGTCATCGGGGTTGTGCATGATGAGAGCATTCTTGTGTGACAAAAATGGAGCATGACTAAACTATATGATTTTGTAGGGATAAACTTTCTTTGGCAATGTTATTTTGAGAAGACATGATTGCTTAGTTAGTATGCTTGAAGTATTATTATTTTTATGTCAATATGAACTTTTGTCTTGAATCTTTTGGATCTGAATATTCATGCCACAATTAAGAAGAATTACATTGAAATTATACCAAGTAGCACTCCGCATCAAAAATTCTGTTTTTATCATTTACCTACTCGAGGACGAGCAGGAATTAAGCTTGGGGATGCTGATACGTCTCCAACGTATCTATAATTTTTGATTGCTCCATGCTATATTATCTTCTGTTTTGGATGTTTATGGGCTTTATTATACACTTTTATATTATTTTTGGGACTAACCTATTAACCCAGGGCCCAGTGCCATTTTCTGTTTTTTTTGCCTATTTTAGGGTTTCAAAGAAAAAGAAAATCAAACGGAGTCCAATTGACCTGAAACTTCACGGAACTCATTTTTGGAAGGAAAGAAGCCCAGAAGACTTGGAGTGCACGTCGGGGGACCTACGAGGAGGCCACGAGGCAGGGGCGCGCGCCCACCCCCTGGGCACGCCCTCCACCCTCGTGGGCCCCTCGTGGCCCCCCTGACATACTTCTTCCGCCTATATATCTCCATATACCCTAAAAACATCGGGGAGCACAATAGATCGGGAGTTCCGCCGCCAGAAGCCTCCGTAGCCACCGAAAGCCAATCTAGACCCGTTCCGGCACCCTGCCGGAGGTGGCAATCCTTCTCCGGTGGCCATCTTCATCATCCCGGTGCTCTCCATGATGAGGAGGGAGTAGTTCTCCCTCGAGGCTGAGGGTATGTACCAGTAGCTATGTGTTTGATCTCTCTCTCTCTCTCTCGTGTTCTTGAGGTGATACGATCTTGATGTATCACGAGCTTTGCTATTATAGTTGGATCTTATGATGTTTTCTCCCCCCTCTACTTTCTTGTAATGGATTGAGCTTCCCCTTTGAAGTAATCTTACTGGATTGAGTCTTTAAAAGATTTGAGAACACTTGATGTATGTCTTCCCGTGTGTATCTATGGTGACAATGGGATACCACGTGATTCACTTGATGTATGTTTTGGTGATAAACTTGCGGGTTCCGCCCATGAACCTATGCATAGGAGTTGGCACATGTTTTCGTCGTGATTCTCTGGTAGGAATTTTGGGGCACTCTTTGAGGTCCTTTGTGTTGGTTGAATAGATGAATCTGAGATTGTGTGATGCATATCGTATAATCATACCCACGGATACTTGAGGTGACATTGGAGTATCGAGGTGACATTAGGGTTTTGGTTGATTTGTGTCTTAAGGTGTTATTCTAGTACGAACTATAGGGCTGTTTGTGACACTTATAGGAATAGCCCAATGGATTGATTGGGAAGAATAACTTTGAGGTGGTTTCGTACCCTACCATAATATCTTCGTTTGCTCTCCGCTATTAGTGACTTTGGAGTGACTCTTTGTTGCATGTTGAGGGATAGTTATATGATCCAATTATGTTATTATTGTTGAGAGGACTTACACTAGTGAAAGTATGAACCCCGGGCCTTGTTTCCTAGCATTGCAATACCGTTTACGCTCACTTTTACCATTAGTTACCTTGCTGTTTTTATATTTTCAGATTACAAAAACCATTATCTACTATCCATATACCACTTGTATCACCATCTCTTCGCTGAACTAGTGCACCTATACAATTTACCATTGTATTTGGTGTGTTGGGGACACAAGAGACTCTTTGTTATTTGGTTGCAGGGTTGCTTGAGAGAGACCATCTTCGTCCTACGCCTCCTATGGATTGATAAACCTTAGGTCATCCACTTGAGGGAAATTTGCTACTGTCCTACAAACCTCTGCACTTGGAGGCCCAACAACGTCTACAAGAAGAAGGTTGTGTAGTAGACATCATAGTAGAGAGAAGGCCCAGTCGCCACCCCGCGCATCCACAACCTTCTGAAAGTGGCTTCATCTCGCAATGTGCTCAATAAACATGATATTCTCTTTAGAGCCATGGAAAAGCAGGAACATAATCTTCTGTCCTATTCTCCAAGATGGACGGGCCTTCATTATTTGAGACCACCCATGAATAAGTACTTTTTCACCTCCAAGGGGAATGCAGTAGGTCGACATAAACATTATGTTGTGACCAAGCGCAAGTCTGACCCGACCATGGTCAGGCATCTATATAGGAACAATAGAACTTGGCAGTTTTTGTTTCAAGAAGATCACGACTGTAAAACTGTGTATAAGCAAGAGTTTATGAACAACATATATAACAGAAAACAGCCCGTACCATAAATTTCTCGACACAGTTGGACCTATTCAACGAGTGCAGCAGTGGCACACATATCCCACGTGCCCTTTCACCATTGAAACGCCCCACAAGGACCTCAAGACGATCAATAAAGTGTAGGAGCTTGTGGATGTTGTCCCAGTCAACTTCAGTGCCATCAGTAACAACCAAGTTCTTATAGAATAACAAACGAGTAGCCTGCTTAACTCTGAAAAAACCTACACGTGCCACCAATTATAAGAAAATATTAGTTAGAAGTAGCATCTTCGTAAGAGATTCGTTGCTACTTCTAAAGTTAAATTGTGATAAGTTAGACAGAATAGGTGGATTAAGAAGTAATCGAGGCAACAAGCAAGAACCAGATACAAGACTAACATGGATGAACAATTGGAACGACATCGGGGTGGAAAATCACAGTGAAGATGAGACCAGGTTCTGCTTTCCATCAACATTCGTGCGCCAACTTTCAGTCCGTAACACTTGAGAAAGTTTATCCAAGTTTAGCCATAAAAAAGCAGCGATCTTCTTGGTTCATGAACCCAACTCGGAACTTATATCCATGGCTTGTCTTCACTGTGACCATTAAAATGGCGTATTCAGTTATGGCAAGGCCGAACATCTTGAGTACATGTGTTCTAGCAGAGTAAGGAATGCACTGCAGGAAAAATAATATGAGAACACAATGTATTCCCTATCCAAATCTAGAAATAATTTCCTCGTTCATGTCACTGTTGACCATGGTACTAGTACCTTTTATCCAAATATAGCAATCCAAATTTCCAAATTAGTCGACAGCATGTTCAAAAAAACCCACCCGGATAGAAAAGAGGATTCTACGAATGTACTGTGTGTGTTTTAAAATCCTGTGTTAGGATGAGAAGGAACAAGTGTGGCATCTCGCCGAGGGCGCAGAAACCTGTAGGGTCCTCGCACTTCGGGCACTGCAAATGAAACACACTAGATTCAGTAGGAAGAAAAATGCATCAACTGCGACGGCTGCCATCCTAGGATTACCCGCGACCAAGGGACTTGGATTTATTGGGGATGGATGAATAATTCGTACCTGGTTCTCCATGAGAAAACCCTATGCAATCGCCAAGAGGGGGTTTTCTCTGAACAAGCAGATGAGGGAGAAGAAGATTCATACCCAGTGAAATATTGCCGCTTCGTCCATCCAACTTACAGCTAAAGCTGGAAAGGTGGTTTTTTTGTGATTTGACGGCTCATTGGGCATTACTGCGGCACTACGACTGGGGTGTGTTTACCGTGCAGTTGTGCACTCTAATTTGGTGCATATGGCACGTGCACCCCTTTGCCGGATGCCCCACATATCAGCGAAAGGAAGTAGAAAGACAAGAGTAACTAGTTACACATAAATATATTTTTGACGGAGAGATACTCCCTCTGTAAAGAAATATAAAAATCTTTTATATCACAACTTTTTATATAAGAAAAATCAAAGGGAATATATATAACATATATAATTATAAAAAACAGAGTTTTTTTAACATAGTATAGACGAGTTGGTGATGATGGTGTGCTTGCCATCCTCCAATATAGGTCGTCCAATTTATATCTGAAGGATAGGAAGGAAACTATGTCAATTTTGCAAACGGTACCCACACACCTCTCCACATTTGCAAATAAGGCCTTCCCTCGTTCATCCTTTTCTCTCACAAGATAAAATACTCATACAAATGCATCTTAATGTTACGTGCAACGCACATACATTATGGGGGTTTAGCTAATAATATAATACTCAGACAGGCTTACAGTTCTGGACTTTGGGCCACATGCCGGTGGGCCGACATGTTTGGGGGCCCATGTGTTCTACCTCAGCGCTTTTCATATTGCAAGCAATCGACACGACGCTGGTTTTAGATGCTGTCGCAAAGCGAATACACAAAATTGAGTAAAGCACGACAGCTGTTAGAATGAAATCGAACGACAATTCCTAATCAGCAATCAGAATTGCAATTCTATCAATGATATAGTCCATGAACCGGGGCAAAATTGGCCAAAATTGCGACTGGAGATTTATTTTATTATTTTACAGAAAAAGATGGTGATCAAGCCCAATATTTCTTTAATTGGTATACGTAGATGTACACGTATACACTGTAACCAAAACCAAAAGAAAGAAAAGAAAGATGTAATCAAAGAGAAGATTGAAGGAATATGTTTTATGGTCTCCTCCTACTTATTTCCCAGCCATACTTAATTACAATGAACAAATAATTATGTACAATAATGAAATGTAAACAAATAAGCATACCACTTGTGTCATGCAATAATGAATCCTATTACATATATTACACTGACATATTTAAGTATATTTATTTCACTGAACAAACACCATAATTTTGTAAACAACTAATACTTCATAGAACTTGACGAATTGCATGCAGTACATATGACATGGCCCTTTTATTTTTGCACTAGTAGTCTGCATCCCACACAGAGAAAGCACTAGAGGACTTCATCCACTTGGCAGTAATTTCAGGGTAGTGCCGGTTGATCACATCTCGTAGGCCTTCAGTTGTTTTGACCCATTGCATCCCCTTCTTGGTGTATGTTTTCTCATTGAAATTGCTTGTAATAAATCGATCTGCTTCGAGCCTCCTGTTTATAGAGATGTGTTAAATTAATATTCATATCTTAACTGAGTAGTTATCATATCAAATTAGTACTTCCTCATTTGACTACTTCTTTTCTCTCACCAGTAAAGCACCCATAATGGTCACATCGTTATGTTTTCTTGCCTTTTTGAACTTCGGTTTGGGTAAATTTTGAATCAGTGAAAATTAGCTTAAGCCACATTCTCAGTTGTTTCCTAATACATTTAACAAGGCTTAAATCAAATTTGGTACTTTGTCTAGCATTCAATATCAGTTAAAACTAAATATCACCTTGATGCCATTAAAATGAAAATGTTGAATGCTGTTTCGCTTATGGCAAATCCCTTGATTTTTTTCTCTGCCATAAGACCAACAAGAAGATCCAATTTCTCTACATCATCTCCATATATTGCTCTTATGTCTTCAATTGCATCCTTGTCACTTGTCAGATCCTCCCAACTTTTTATTGGAATCAGAAATAGTCTCCTCCTGAACTCATTGTACCTCGGTACACTTCTCTCCCTGTCTCGGTATACTTTAATTTGGAGGAAAATAAAATGATATTAATCTCAGTGCAATCATTATAAAAGGCATCAGACACGGTAATCCTCTTTATTTAACTTGAAGAGTACAGTTTTTGCTTAACATTGTTGTTTATACTAGTATGCAACAGTGTCCTTGTTTTTTAAATAAATGGTAGTTGTGATAGATTAGAGAGTGGTGCTAAGGTTACAAGATACAAACATGATATATGTCTTGGTAAGAGAATCTTGTATTTTCAATTTGGTTAGTACAATAACAGTTTCGGAATTCTTGAAAACTAAAAAGTATGTTGTGATAAATTTCAACATAGTAGTTTAAGGTTACAAAATACTTGTTCTAGTACTTAATTTGTTGCCAGTATGAGTTATTTTAAATATTTTTATGCATTGGATTATTCTTGGTGGATCCTTGTACCAATTTGACATGGTGCAAAATCATGATCCTCTACTGATAGTGGTATAAATTGGGTCCAAATTTCATACCTTCTAGGGCAGCAAGGTCGATTCTGTCAGATCGATTGGTACCATCCAAATTTTGTGGTATAAGGTCCCTGAAGAAACTTGGGTAGTTCCATAGTTCAAGTGCACCACAAGCTTGATATCCCATTGATAATGTTTGTTTTTCAAACCCTATTTTTGATAGCTGGTCTTCCCCCTTGAGACCAACCAACTCTCCAATATCGATGCTACATTTTGACACAAGAAAGAAATGGTGTCAGTGTTTATGTCAGTTATACTAAAAATGTGCTAACCGAGCAGAAAACTTATTGTGACCAAGATTATACATTCTACTTTTTATTGTATAGTAAAGAAGCTAAAAAACATAATAATTCTAGCTGTTTGTGTCGAGTTCAGTGTCTAATGTCAGGTTCAATAATCCATGATGTAAGAGTCGATATCTAATAGAAGAATGTCTTAATTTTTTTCCTCATTTCTTTATAACCTGTATCACTCTTTTTTGTCTGATCTAATGAAAGTTGTTAGTTTTCATTCCATCTTCTACATAAAAAAAGTAGAGGAATGGATGCCAAACATAAATCGTGTACTCACTCTTCCAGGTACGGTGGGGAATTATTTGCAGCGGGTTGCCCGGTCGGATCCTGAGCTTGAGAGTGCTTGGTATTAAGGAATGCATTCTGTAAACACTGGTAAACTCTTCAGTCAATGAATAAGGTACGCCATGGTTGATCGGCTCCTTCAATCCCACAAGCCCACCTAATGCCGTTCCTCCTATGTGACCAAATGTATCTTTTATTTTCTTACCCAATAATCCATACCTTCACAAAACAATCAGAATATCAGGTAAACTGTACACATTCTCACTAATTTAATTAATTTGAATTTGCAGATGTAAATAAAATTTCCACTTGGAAAAGTAATACCATCATCAGCGGATAATTTTTTTCTTTCGGTAAATATGATAAAATGAGATAAATATATCCTCACCAATTTGCACGCATTGCAGCTCTCATGGTTTTAGTCTTGAGAAGCTCGACAGTCCAATCAATAGTGTGAATCTTTGCAATGACAGCAGAAGTGACCAATTTGGCATACCGATATAATTCTTCATCTGATAGGATGGGCTGTTCTTCCTGAGATTAAAACAAAATTTGTAATGTTTTCTTCATATTTTCAGCATAAAGAAAACAAATTAATGTGTTGGTAAATAACAGCTTTATCGGTACGGTGGCAAGAAGTCAAGAGTAGCAAATTCTTCCTAAAAACTAAACAAATAGATAATAGTGATGCTTCTCTTACCTTTATTGCATCACAAACTGCATTGTGTTCCTTAACAAAAAGAGCTTGTAAGATCGAAACCCCAACCCAACCGTTGCGAACGTCGCCCGATAATGGCACACCATTCTCCTCATGCAAAAGAAGACCGTCATCTCCTATGACTAGTTTTCCATCAACATAAGTCCTGATCTTTTTTGCCTCTTTCTCATTATTACCATATACTGCACTCCCATCCCTTGGTACATACAAACATAGAAATTGCAAAAAATTACGACATTTTCTGTACAAATGTGCATTGATTTATATATATTCATCGATCGTCTCTATTTTTTAAGTTCATTCTTTGTGCTTAAGAGAAATTTCTGATAAAGATCTTAACTTAAGAAAATCTTAAGCATTACTCACCACCAAGCTGTGCGGACATTGTAGTAACCACTCTTTATTCCATCAGAATTCGTAGGTTGTTCTTTTGTGGCATAGAACTTGAACGATTTGAGGGGGCACTCATTGGCCACATATTTTGGAGCTGTGATTTCAATCTGGAAGAAACCAAGAAAATTGAATTATATATCAACTAACAATTAGAGGTGGCAGAACCTGAGCCAACCCGAGAAATCTGCTCGACTCGACTTAAATCCGACCCGACATTTTCCAAAAAGTCAAATCGACCTGACCTGAACCAACCAGACCAGATCCAAAACTGACCCAATCCAAGATCAAATAGCATCCAATCCAACTCAAATCAATATACGATCAAAAAAAGTTGATATTGAAATTGGTCTGACATGACCCGTCCATCCCCCAACCCGACCCAACTCGACCCGACATATTCTAGAAGGCCAAACTAACCCAACAAGTCTAACCCAAACCCGAACCCGACCCGCCCGCGTAATTTACCACATGTAACTACAATATATATTTCAAATTCTCAATGGAAGATGATTTTCTATTTTTAAGACTTCAACAAATTAAGGCTATCAAATTAAGGAATTAAATCAAGCATGCACCTGTTTGGTATCCTCCATATGATCCATCCAGTCATGAACCATGAACTGTATCCATGCAGCTGCTAGTATATTGAACTGTTTCCCTGTGTCCTTGTATTCTCTCCTGGCTAACAGCTTTGTTGCCACAACAAATGGATCTGGGCTCATCAACTGCATCGATAAATAACATTTAATTACTTTATTGATAATTTGATGATTCAAAAGCATACCTCGGATTTCCATCTGTTAACAGTATGATATAATTAAAAGAAAATTGTTTTGTTTTTAAATCAACAAGCACACATTAGCTCTTATTTTTAATATTGACAAAACTCGTGTATTTTTTTTGAGTTTCAACGTTAATTCATTCATTTACTTATTTGAAGCTTGCAGAACGAACTACAAACAAAAAGTTTCATCAAAAGGAGTTTTATTAGTCTTGAAGTCAAAGTGTCAAACTAAATATTAAATAAGAAATAAAAATAAAACACTTTTTGGTGATCTTTACTCCTTTAATTGGCTTCTTAGACTTTAATTTCAGGTTTATTCTTCATTAACTAAATTCAGTATGTATAGTATCTAATTTTCTACTGAACAAAATAATAGGGATGCAAATTGAAATCAGCAGATAAGAAGAGCACATCTAAAGCATGCATATATATACAACAAGAATTACCAAAATAAAAGGGAAATAAGTGCTTAACTAATTTACATTAAGTTATTAACTTGTATTGTTAGAGCTTAATTAGAAATTTGGAATTTTGTAAGAAAATTACTAGATTTTTTGTAAAGAGTGTATAATTAAGTACCTCATCCTGTTGATCAACTGGCTTCATGTTTCTCCCAAAAAAGGTGTATTGGCTACCAGCCTTAGCATTATGGGGGTCGTTGTACTTGCCATCTCCGGTGCGGTACGGGAACTCCTTGGGGTCAAACAGAGCACCATGAGAACTCCCAACAGCTAACATGTTGTATTTTTCGAGGAGGGTCCGGCGGGTGTTTAGGTAGAGTAAACCGATTGGAACAGGCATCTTGTGCCACAAGTTTCTCTTGTCAAATGCATGAATGAACTACATGAAATTAAGAAAAAATAATACATTGGAAATTTAATTAGGTATGCATATGTAAATTAAATACTTCAACTAATGAGGAATATCAATTGAATAGTTAATAAGGTGGTACACAAGCATGATAAAGCTTAAGTATATATGCGTGCTTCTAATGGCCATATTTATGAACATGATTTGTTAGTTACCACCATATGCATGAAAAAATAATACATATTGGCATGCATACTCATTTGAAAATATACTTCATTATAACAGATTTCCCTAATTAAATGGTGCATCAAACTTAATTTAGCACAATTTTTGAGATATTAAAATGAATATATATATATATATATATATATATATATTCAAATACTAATTTAAAACAGATCAAACAATTAAAATGCGGCATCAATAGCTCCAAATATAATTCAACTTTTAGTTGCGTTAGAATTGACACACACACACACACACACACTTTTAGTTGCGTTGTATATATAAGATCAAATAAAGAAATGTTTACAAATTTTATTTATGATAAATTATTCTAGTATAAAAAATACTTCATAAATGCCAAGATGTAATTAATTATGTGCTCATCTATATATGTATGCATCCTCTCTAATTAACACCCTTATCTTGCTATAAAATAAAACGCTGACCACATCAATAACATGCATACTGATTAATTTTCATACATAGCATAATATTTACGATCATACATTAATATATAACCACTACCTGATATCTTGAAGGAATATGTATGTATGTATGTAACTGTATGCAGTATGTACATCAAATAAATAATTGATATATATATATATATATATATATATATATATAAATATATATATAACTCTTAAACATTAATTAATTAAAACGTACTAGAAAGCCAATCTTGTCACCGAAAGACATCTTAGAGAAAACATCACGGAGGTCCGGATGAACACGAGGCTTGAAGAGACCTGAACCCATGGCTACATGCAAACAAATTAAATGAATGTATGATCTTGAATATGAGGACTTACGAAGAAGTAACAATAATATATTCTTTGGAAGTTACAACAATCAATAAGGTGTAGTACTATATTTATAATAGAAAAGGCATGCATATCAACCCATTCTCAGTATGTTCTGATATTCAGGCCTGTTTAGTTCGCAAAGTTTTTTCATCGCTACAGTGACTTCGAATGTTTGGACACTAATTAGGAGTATTAAATGTGGATTATTGACAAAACCCATTCCATAACCCCCGGGTGCTTTTGCGAGACCTTTCTAGTGAGCCTAATTAAGCCTAGATTAGACAATGTGGTGCTACAGTAAACTGTCTCTAATGACGAATTAATTAGGCTTCATAGAAAGGTCTCGTGATTTGCAGTCCATCCGTGTAATTTGTTTTATAATTAGATCATGTTTAGTCCTCCTAAATAGCATCCGAAAAGTGATACAGTGAACTTTGCAAACAAAGTTTGCAATCTAAACACAGCCTCAATGACACGTGCATGATTGATTTGCTGCGTACTATATATGCGTTTAAATAAAAAAAGGATATGATGTGTAGGTGTAGCTGCTCAGAACTGATAATTTTATGGTAGGTGTAGCTGCTCAGAACCGATAATTTTACGGGAGCTGATACAGTGATACCATTGTCCTCCCTCCGTCCCTAAATGATGATCATCGTTGGTTTCCATGCCACAAGTTTGACCGACATTTGTATCTCTGAATAAATTTATTAAAAAACTAGATCCAAATATCTATCTAATGATGTTAATTTTGTACTATAACTAGTAATATATTTTTATATATATTTAGTCAAAGTTGTTTATCGGGAAGCA